GTCCGATGCGATAGCCGCTTTTCCAATGTTGCGGTGAGTGGCAGTTACCAGGATCGCAACAGGTGGCATCTTCAGATGAACAGCCCTGGGACTGGTAGCTGCTGCAAGCAATTCCCGCAGACGCCGCCGGAGAGGTGAAATGTAACGCTGATCTTGTTCGGGAAACGTCAGTGATGAAGCACTTGGCGCTTTTGACGGCAATCTCTTCACACCCAGGTAGTATGGCCAGGTGTTGGACTTGGTTGCGGGGAGGCGATGCGTGGCGAATCCAGAGCCGTGCATCGCGACAGACGAGCTGTCGATGCAAGCGACCCCTCCCCACAACTCCTCGGACTGGTCGTTGTCGGCATCGGACTTTGCGAACTGAATATGCCCAACCTTGAACCATGCTACTTGATCGTACCTCGACGATCCTTCTTTCGACAAGGCCATCACGTCGTCAACTTCCGATCCATTGCTTCCGCTGGGCTGCTCTTGAAGAGCTTTACCCAACTGTGTGTCGATCGGTACGGCGATGAGATCGCCAGTCCGTACAAGTCGAATCTTCTGGGCAAAGTAACGCTTAAGACCACCCAGAACCGCCGACTGGTAAGCTCGTTCCGCGGTCACGGGAGAGCGAACATGCTGTATCGTGATATCGCGTGCATAGGGAGGGCGCGATGCGCTGGTAAATTTCGGAAGAGTGCCCTTTCCTTGGTACGTTCCTCGTTTGATGGGTGCTAGTCTGAGATATGAGGGCTCGTCGAGGTTTGCCAACAAGATTGGAGAAATGTATGCTGCCGGACTACTGGGTTTCTGAAGCTGAGACTCGAAGAACGACAGCCTACGTTCGCCGTGCTTTGCGCTTGGTATGCGCGTTACTGGACGCTGAGTGTATCCCTCTGGCAGACCGTACACTCTTACAGGCCTCCAATTAGACTCGACAGGCTCGAGTGATGTGAAGCTGCCTAGGCCAAACGCACCGAAACCGTTCGTGGGGGGTTCTTCAGCAGCCTCGACACGGACCCAGTCCCCTGAGAAGCAGCCGATCTTGGACAAAGAAGATATGTCTACGAATATTCTAGCTTCGTCATCGTCCTCCGGCGCCGGTTTGGGATGAAGAAGGTCCACGGGAATGGTACGAATCAGCCCCTGAGCCTTGAAAAGTCGACCTCGGGGCCGGTCTGGACGCGCCGTAGTCGCAGTGAAGTTGGAAAACACAGAGGCGGGGGTGGCAATTCCATTAGTCTTTCGCCCTCTCCCAAGGGTCATCGGAGTCCCTGGCTGCATTGTGGACACGCCACTTGCCGCGGTGGTAGGCAGCGTTGGAGCCTGCAGAGAGATCATGTCGTCCATGGAATCATCGGAGAGGTCGTCATCTTGATCGATGCCGGAGAGTTCCGATTCCTCTGTCTCGGTCACGGAGTCTACCTCCGTGTTCGCAGCGTCGGTCTTGTACCGGTCTTCGGCAGCCGAGTAGAACTGGTCGTTGGCCGTATCATCCTCCTCATCCTCGGGAACGCCGTTCAGGCTTCGGTTCGGGGGGATGGAAGGAGCGACTTGGCCGCGCTTCGTATGTACTCGTCCTCGCATCAAGATGATCTTGGTGCTCTCGGACAAGATACCCTGGCTGACAGGCTCGCAGAGCATAATCTTGCCCGGGTTTGGGGGGATATGGGTGACCGGGTGCGGTGGGAGCGGCAAAGGGAAGAGGTCGCCAGAGTGCAAGACCTTCAGGCTCCCCAATGCGACACGCAAGGCCGAGATCAGGCGGCCTTCGGGAGCATCGGAGTCTGTGGGACCTTTGCCATTCCCATTGCTCGGGTGATCGCGATAAAAGGTGCCTTCGCCCTGCTCCAAGCGCCTCGTCAACTCGCTCTCCAGGCTCACATATACAGTATCAAGCGAGAGGGTGACTACGTCGAGTATTTGGATTTCGATACCGCTGCGGCTGTTGCTCGAGAGTTTCGATGGCGCGACTTGTTGGAGTATTGTGGCGAAGCTCTGCAGTGACAAGGACGAGGGCGAGAACTGGACAGTCGAGGGCTTCAGAGCCGACGATTTGACGACAGGCACTACGGTCCAGGCGGTTTCGGTCGCGGTAGGGCTCGGTTCCCAAGGAGCGATAGCAACATGGTGTACGTCTTCGGAACCATCTTCGTGAGAGAGTTCTGCGCATCGATAGGGTCAGCAGTTGTACATGCGAGATTGGTTGCAATGGGCGCATCCTTACCGTCGCGGAGGTGGGGGAAGAGGTCTGCGAACAGGTCCTCGGATATAATGCCCACGTCTCCCCTTACATTGTGGTCGTCGAGGATCAGCCTGGCTGATATGGCTGGCTTGTCTTGCCTACGTCTTCGTGCTCTCCTGTTTCTTCTCGCCTGGGACGGCGGCGCGAGTTCCGAGGTCGTCATCCTGCTATGTGTACGGCGATGGGTGTAGAGCAATTCAGATGCACATCGCAGAGGGGGGGATAGGAAGTTATGAAAGTCGGTAGAGAACCAAAAGGAGAGATGGCCACAGACAAGTACACAGTCAATTGATGTCGGGGGTATCAGCAGGAGTAGGTATGTGAGGCCATATCGTGATCTCCGTGTTGACAAGCTACGGTTAAGCTATCCAATGGTCCCTGGACTGGGTTATAGTCGGGGCCCGCCCATCCCCAGCTTCGGCTTGGGGAAGTCTGCCTCGGCATTGGCGTGTTGCCAGCTGCAGCCGGCTCACCTCCAACGGCTCCAACCTCCTGGGGTCTCCGCTGAGGGCAGCACAGGCCTCTCGAGTCAAAAAACCCGTGTGGGGGGGGGGGGGGGTGTGTTGTCTGACTAAGCACATGGTATTAGGAGTCGACCCCGAACAACCTCCGATTCCATGTCCGATAACGCTTCTACAACATACGGAACAGTCCCCAGATGTTCTATACAAAGACCTGACGGCGAAAAGTTACGGCATCCGAATTCTGTGCTGAGAATCGCATGGCCTATGGACTGTCAGCCTACTCTAGCAAAAGGCAAAGTTGCGAGAACCCAGCTGAGACTTAGTACATGCTGGCGCCGAAAGATACCTAGTAGGTAGCACAAGGAAATTCAGCCAGCGAGAGAGAGTATGCTACTGTCTACCGTACTAGACAAGCATACAAGCAGGCATCAACGGCACGGAGGATCCCACACTGTCATTCAGTAAGCAGCTGTATCGTGCATTACTTGATTCGCGGCTTGAATCCGCATACCATGACGACGAAAACCCCATCTTCGGGAAGCAAGGTACCCAGACGGCCCGCCCTGACCCAGTCGATGGAGACAACAGCGGCTCCAAAGATCAAAATACTCCGTCCAAAACATACACAGCGTCACAGCCTCACCTTGATAGAAACACAGTCAGGGTTTGCAAGGCCAGGCGGCAACCTCCGAACCTACTGTAATTTTCTTGACACCCTTTATGACGAGAGAAATCCGCTTGTCAGCTTCCTAAAGATCCCAGGGTGCTTTTGTCGATATATCTTGCCACACGAACTTAATGTACAGCCATATACACAATAGAAAATACGATACGAGAATGGACTTGGGCGGGTACAAGACATCGACTGTGCTATTGCGGTCATCGTTGGCTGAGGCAGGCTCCCCTGGGATATGCCATGGGGCTCTAGCCATCACCAGTACTCGCACTCGTACTTCAGATGCTCAGTGTGATTAAGATTTGTCCATGATCGGATGTCATGAGGAAAGTTCATGGCAGGCGCGCGGAACTCGAAAGGTTACGACGATACCTTGTGTGAGGGAAGGCGATTGGTAGACTACCTAGTCGCAAGTTTTCGACCCAACTCATTTGCTCATTTCCAGTGAATCAGTAGCACAGATAGAATTGTTCAAGATCGGGTTCATCAGGCTTGATTGATGCTGCGAGGGTCCGCAGACATCAATGATGCTCGTTTCGTAAGAAAAAAACGAGACAGGATCGTCACATGCTTTTTCGTCCAAGTAATTTCACAGCGTCTGGAGACTGGCACCCAATCATGGCACGGCCTTGAGCAAATGCTCCGAACAACACACACAGCAATGACGCAAGCGGGGCTCCTCCCTGTCTAAGCCGCAGACCAGACTGCAGTTACACTCTCTCCCGTCTCTCTCTCACTCTTCCTTCCCGTGCGTTCGGCTGGCTCGACGCTTCCGAGACCTCGAGGCTCAGCCGGCAGCGGCTGGCCGGCGCCTCATTTCTCGCTCTTCCGTCGTCTCTTGTTGTTGTTTTCTGCTGCAGCCAAAGGAAATGACAGGGAAGGAAGGCCTGAGAGAGGCGCCAAAAAGAGTTTCAAATGGCAGCGGCTGGGCCTCGTGGACTCCAGGTTACTGCTTCCGTCACCCGTGCTTGGGATTCGAGGCGCAACTTCGTAAGGCATGGCCAATGTCACCCTGGAGCATGAGAGTGAGCGCGATGGAATTCGATCTGGACCAACATCGACGTCAATCACACCACGATTCTTGCGGTGAGACCGACTGGTCAACAATCGAGAGCAATACTTTTTGATGGCTGCTACTTGCAAATTGCCCCTTATCTTTGTTGGTCTCCAATATCCCCTTAGTTCGCCTCTCTCTCCCTTTTCATCCACCCGCCAACCCGTTCGTGCCGTTTTAGCTGCTTTCCAATTACCTGGCGAGGACATTACTTTGAATATCCCTACCCGTACATCCCCAATTTACTTTCACACCCCCAACGCCTCCCACCCTTCTACGTCCCGGATCTACACTTTTGCTTCCCTGCCTTGGACAATCCTCGACACCATCTCCGTGATGCCTGTTCATGCCATCAGTGGCTGTAAAAACCACCATTGACAAGCAGAACTCTACCTCAATCAATATCTTACCAACTTCATCTCATATCCTTATTCAGTCGCGCAAAGAAAGCGACCGCACTCTTCCTTTCCGCGCTCGAATCCCTCCAGAAACGAAATTGTATAGTTCTCACGTTCGTTGCCGATCATCCCTTTCCCTGCGCGACCGTCGCATACAATTTTGTAACCCCCAAACGTCATGGGCAACTTTTCCGAGTCCCCGGAGCGCGGCCGAGAACGGCTACACGACAATGGCATCGCACACGCTGCTATCGAGTTCGCCCACCAAGCCGAGAAATTGTCACTGCAAAAAAGCGAGAGTAACAACAACGATTCCGAGGTTGCGGTCGAAGCTCGCTTCGTAACACCTCAAGATCCCGTCATAGTCACATCGGACGGCAAGAGACTACCGGGTGTACCACTTCAAGAGGCACACAAGTTGAACATTCTCAAGGAAGAACTTCAAGACGGTTCAGCTGTGGCCAAGATCAAGGAGGGAAATGACACGGACGGAAAGGTCACAAATGCCGGTGTGCTATCAGAGAAACGAGAGAGGATTGTCTCTCTACCGACCGATGCAAATGGGAAATCCATGCAGAAATCAGGTGAAGCACCTCTTCGTCGCCAAACACCTCCCTCACATACCAACCCATTGTTTCCGCCTCTACCTCTCTACGGGCCTCCGTCAATGTTTCGTAATTTTCAATGCTTGATATTCCGTGTTTCAGCATTCTTCCTCAGTTTGGCCTTTCTCGGGGTCATTGTGCTTGGTGCGCTCTTCACCAGCATCCCACCGCTGTGCAAGAGGATCTTATATCGCCTGACACTGCAAAATCCCGATAAGAAGAGGCCCTTCCACGAAGAGGAGGCACGCAGAGCCAAGAGTCGCAAGGAGGAGAACAAAAAATGGAAGCGCAACAAGACCAGCGATAGGCTGGGTAAAGTGAACGAAGCTGCTGATGAGTTCGTTCCGACTGAAGGGGGACCAGACCCGATCGTCTGCGACGTGGGCTATTACGCTCGCCGTGTTGGCCTGGATGTTGAGGAAATCGAGGTGCAGACCGAGGACGGCTTCCTCATTGACCTCTGGCACGTATACGACCCCAAGGAATACACAAGAATGAGCGAAGACGATAGGTCCGACAGAGGACCCGACATCTTCCAGTCTTCCAAGAAAAAGCTCAAGGATCCTAGTCAGAAGCGCAAGTTCCCTGTTCTACTCATCCACGGTCTCCTACAAAGTTCCGGCGCATATTGCACAAACGACGAAAGTTCGCTCGCGTTCTACCTGTGCAAGTCTGGCTACGACGTCTGGCTGGGCAATAACCGATGCGGCTTCAAGCCAAAGCACACCTCGCTCAAGTACACCGATCCAAGGATGTGGTGCTGGAACATCCGACAGATGGGCGTCTTTGATCTGCCGGCGCTCACATCGCGCGTGCTCTACGAGACCGGCTTCGAAAAGATCGGGTTGATCTGCCACTCACAGGGCACTACCCAGACGCTGGTCGCACTCGCCAAGGAGCAACGGCCAGACCTAGGCGAAAAGTTGACCGTCTTCTGCGCGCTCGCGCCGGCCGCCTACGCCGGTCCCTTGATTGGCAAGATGTACTTCAAATTCATGAGGATCATCACTCCGGGCATGTTCAGGTTGATGTTTGGCATCCACGCCTTCATCCCCTTCATGATGCAGATGCACCAGCTGCTTCACCCAAAGGTCTACGGCTGGCTCGGGTACAAAGTCTTTTCTTTCCTCTTTGACTGGACGGACACGAGGTGGGATCGCGGTCTCAAGGATCGCATGTTCCAATTCGCACCCGTCTACGTCAGCGCGGAGTCGATGCGCTGGTGGCTGGGCAGAGAATGCTTCGCGCGACACAAGTGCATCCTCTCAACAAAAGAAGACGTCCGCGCCGAGGAGAAGGAGGATAATATCAACGGTCAGGATGCCACCAACACCAACGGCAATAGCCACACGCTCCGAGCCGACGATGCGGACGGCGTCATGTCGCAACGGACCGTAGACGACCACGTCCGCAGACCGAAGGGATCCACAGCTTGGTACAACGAGCAAGTGCCCCCGTTTGCGCTCTGGGTTGCGGGCAATGACGACCTCGTGGACGGAAAGAAGCTCCTCCGCCGCTTCGAACGCGGGCGCGAGCCGCACGTCAACGTCGTGCACAGCAAGGTCATACCAGAGTACGAGCACCTCGACGTCATTTGGGCCATGGACGCGCCGGAACAGGTGTTTAAGGAGGTGCGCGAGGTGCTGTGGAAGACGTGCGACGTCAGGGACGCGTGTCGGGTGCCGGTGGCGTGTGAGGAGGTTGAGCAGTGGATACGGCCACCGCCGAGGAAGCTCGCTAACGGAGCCGTGGAGGAGAGCCAATCTAGCAGTGACGAGACCGAATAGAGGTCGGACTCGTACGGGAAGCGACAGTGATTTCTATCAAGCCATGCCGGATCTGTTTTGTGGGATACACTCTTGACTTATAGATACACAAGCTTTGGCTTTCTTTGGAGCGGCGGGTATCGCGAAGGAGTAAACGGTGTTGGCGCATTGGAATACATCACTTGGGAATAGGGATATCAGACGTATAACCAATGAGTAATGGTAATGAAATGAGCTCTGATTACGCAGGATATGGCACCACTGCCAGTGATTTGGAGGCCTGAACACATAGATCATGACACCAAACATCAATGCAAGCCTTGGAACAAAAGCACATGTGCGGCGGATTCGACGAGGAGATCTAGCATACCGTCTGAGATGAGAGCTATAGGTTTTCCCCTCAAAAACATCAAACGACCCGCTTCATCTGCAAACATCATCCAACATCATTCCATCCCCTGAGCCCCTACTACTCTTGCACAATGACTATGCGTCTCCCACAGGCTTCCCATCGTTCTGCGGCACTGCCGCTTTAGGTCTGGAAGCTATTTCTGCCTCCTTCGCCTTCGAACCCCCAGCATCCTCCTTCTTCGCCTCAGTGGCCTTGAGCTTCGTCTCGGTTTCACTTTTTTCTTCGTCTTCTTCACTGTCCTCGCTACTGTCGTCGCTATCGTCTTCTTCGTCGTCGTCGTCCTCCTCCTCCTCCTCCTCGTCATCTTCTGCAGGCGGCGCTGCCTTGACTTCCTTCGCAGGGGCCGAGGTCTTCTCTGTCGCGGCAGCCTCCTTCGGCGCAGCTGTCTTCTCCGCCACGTCGGGCTTGGTAGTGTCCTCGGCTTCCTCCTTTTCCGGTTCCTCCTTGATAGCCTCGGCCTTCTCGACCTCGGCAATCCTCTTCTTCTCTTCCTCTTTCTCTTTCTTCAACTCTTCCTCTTTCTTCGACGCTTCCTCCTTCTCTGACTCCTCCTTGATGACCTGGGCCTTCTCGACCTCTGCAATTTTCTTCTTATCCGACTCTTCCTCGTCGGAGTTCTCCTGGCTGGGCTCTTCCTTGATGGCTTCGGCCTTCTCGACTGCGGCAATCTCTTCCTGCGATGCAGAAGCCACCTCGGCGCCCATGTGGACCGTCACGGGCTTATCGACGTCGGAGGGCTTCCACCGGGCTGTTGTCGGCGACTGGAGTGTCTCGCGCAGAGCGTCTGCATTGGTTGCCGTGTTAGCAGTGATACCCCAAGAGCCCGTAGTCGGCGATTGAAGACCGAGGGGCTTGGCGCTCTGGGCCGACGAATCACTGCCAGTGCTTGCTACGGAGGGCTTTCGGGGCGTTTCCGGGGTTGCGGTCGTAGGTTCGGCAGCGGCTTTGGCTTCGGCGTTCTTTTCGGGCTCAGCGGCGGTCGTTGTTGCCGCGGATGCAGCCGCAGCTTCGTCCTCGGCCCTTTTATCTGCGGCTGCCTGTACCTTTTCGCGCAGCGATTTCAGCCGGATTTCCTTAGCCCTCTTGGCTGCCTCGTCGGCGATGGACTGGTGGGACGCGGTAGTAGCACTCTCGACAGGTGACTTTGGCGTATTGGCTGGCTTGTCTTTGGCAGGCGCTGGGGCGCTTGATGTGTCGTCCTTGGGCAAGGGAGGCGCCGGCGGTGGCGCAGGAGCGGATGAGGAAGACTCAGATGAGGAGGCAGCGGCAGCGGCTTTCGCTGCCAACGTGCCCTTTGGTACCTTTTTGATGATTTTCTTCTTGACGATTTCCTTGGGCTTGTTGTTGATATCGGGGATGGTGAATTCGTCGTAGTAGATCTTGACATGCTGCTTGAGCTCGCCATATTCGTTCCATTCTTCGATCTCGACGATGTCCTGGTAGAAATCATGGTGTCAGAAGATGGTTTCTCCTCGGCAAGCCCAAGGTGCCTAGCACCGAGTGAAGGGGTGAGTCTTACACCGAGGACGAGGCCTTCTTGTATGAGGGCTGGGAGCTTCCTGGGTCGACCCGAGGCGTCTTTGCCGGCACGGCGGCCCCAAAGCATGCGGGCCTTGTCATCGGTGGAGAGATCGATGGCTTTGAAGGGGACGCGGTTGGCGCGCAGGATGGTCTCGAGACGGGACGTGGCGGTCACGATGTGCATATTCCCAGCGGTCAAGGAAGTGAAGATCCACAGGGCCGGATCGGTAGAGAAGGTGGTTGCAGTCAACTGCGCCATGATGCTGGATTCGGTATGATTCGAGGCGGGTAGATTCGATGGGATGCAGGGAAGAGCTCCTAAGCGTGAGGAGGGGAGGAAAGGGACAGCTACTGGGAAGCTAAAAGGGGTCAGATTCGATCAGTATGAGCTTAGGAAATATCGAGATGTAGATGGCAAGAATGGCGGCACAAGACAAGGCAATATGCATGGTGGGGAGCCTTGCATTACGTACCTTGTGACTGATTGTTCTTTGGGGTTCTCGATGACATGTAGCTAGCTGCGTTCCAGTGAGACGATGCAGTGCTGCATGATACGCCGGTAGCGGTTCAGCGGCTGCTGGTGGGGGTTCCACGCAGATGAAACTCGAAGGGTCGTGGCTGGTGACGGTTAGTGCTCACCTCTATGTACAGCGGCTTGTGGCTCTGCCTTCAAGCAGAGAACCTAAGTTAGCTTACCTAAGGCACGCGGGGGCGGGGTCAGATACGTATCTTAACTCCGTACATACAGATATCCGTAGATTACAGTGCAGCGGTGTTGACCTAAGGTATAAGGTACTTTATGCTGGCTGTCTCTCAACTCTGAGGTACGCCGTGAGGTTGATGATCAAAGGAAGGTATTCAGGCTCATAGTGTCTTTCCCTCTTGCCTGACTGGACGCTTGACAACGCAGCTGCGCCTGATGAGTCGAAAGAATGGAAAGCGGCCAGAGTGAGGTGGCTTCCCAAATGAGCTGGCAAGACAAAGCTGCAAGATGAGGTGTTCAAAAGTGGAAAGCGTCACGCGGTAAGCGCCGTCCACTCCACCAACTTGGCTTTCTTCCTACCTATGCTATCGAATATTCGTCACCAGGACTTTAGCGCCATCACTTTACAACTCTTGAACAGTTTCCTCTACGCATGTCCCACATGCATTTTCGGCTTGACAACTCCAGGCAGCATCACTGCTGCAACACTTTTCCAACATGACTACGATGCCAAGTACTTTACCACTGCGACTTCATCCTTTTTTACATAGAAGAACCTCAAACCCCAAGACTTCTTGATCTCAATAACGACGGAAAGAAAGAAAAAAGTCAAGATGACTGGCTGTTGACGTCCGTCCTTCTTGTCACATATCAGACATACCTCTTGTTTCCACCAGATCCTACTGGCACCATATGATATGACAGCCATCAGCAAGCTACCACATGGGAAACAGCGCGATCCCGAAGTGCTTCGAGCGCTAAAGGCAACGTCAAATTGAGCATGACAACAAATATAGAATTCAGACGATTTGCCGGCGATTGAATAGACGAAATGGCGAACTCAATGTGACACCGTTCAAATGGCCTATGCGCAGTCACTAACACGCCGACTTTGCCGTACAATAGGTTGACGAAGTCATTCACACTTCATTGCAAACACCCCCAACAGGGCGCCCAAACAACCGCGGCAAGGGCTTCCTTGCAGTGAGCCGACTCCTCAATCAAACACTTCACGAGAGGCCATTGCCGTTGTTGCATTCAACGTGGAGGCAGAATACACAATCGCATGGTCTGACGACAAGGCCTAGAAGCGACAAGCAAATGTTTCAAAGTCCCATGCCAGCTTCGAAAAGCCGTCCTAGACACCTGACGCTCTGATGCTAAACTTTCCATCATTTGTCCCAAATGTTCACCCTTCTACGGGGTCACGACATACTCGCATAATCAACTCTGGGTCAGGCTGCTGTGAAGATACTCTGTGGCGATCGCTGTCAGAGTCCGTATTCAGAGGGGCATTCTACATCATCATCATCATCTTCTTCTTCGCAGACCTTCACAAAACCCACTTGTTGGCACCTTGGCCTCATCTCGCAAAAAGAGAAGCTATCCACGACACCTACGCTTCTGAACCTGGTTAAGCTAGCTGGATAAGGAATTTTCTGAGCCCTTGCTTCGAAAAGACTGGCACCCTCCAAAGCGTTGCACATCCATGATCCCCCCCTCTGAGCGGGAAATGGCGGTGGAGCCCCATGATTGAGATCATTTCTCGCGACGATTCGCAAGTGCTGCGACAGGGAAGCACTCTGGAAACAGCTTATGGTTACTCAAGACGACGTCACCGGATTGGCTGGGCGAGGGTCAATCTGACCGATGTTTCTCTCTTATAACCTCAGGCTCTGGGTCACACCAAACCGCGCAATGACCGTCCAAAGAATGGAGAGAGACCTGAATCTCAATCGGCCGAGCGATAACAACGGCACGATACACGTCGTCATTGCAGACGGAGACACTTTTGATGGTGTGCCTGTGGTCAAATGCTGAAAACCACGCCAGCATCTGTGCAAATACTGTGCTTCTCCCTGCAGTCGCACGATCCCAAAATAAACCGGTCGAGCGGCTCAGGACGGGCTAGATCTTTCGTCGACTCCTCCAGGCTAGCAGGTTTTCCATCGGTCAACGGATAACAAACGGCGTTGGCGCCATGGCGGGAGCGCAGAGCAATGGCTTGATTCCCGAGGGTGGTGGCGGCACCCAAGCGGTTGTTTATGGCGTCGAGCAACAGCTCTGAGTCCTAACACAAAATATAACATCATCTACTCCGTACGGTGTGGGGGAATGGAAAAGACGTGATGACGATGAAAATCCTTGGTCTCGCTGGGCAATGATTGGCAAGCGCATTTCCCACGTCGCCCACGTTCCGACGGAGAGGGATCCAACACCCGGTCGCCTCGTGCAGCAAGCCAGCGAAAGGAAGAGAAACATGGCAACCAAACAACGCAGCATCGACCAGGTCTTGGCGTCAATGATGACCTGGAGATTCTGTGGCGGCTCTGACTGGTCCTGACTCTGCCATCTGCTCACAAGTTCGGATGAGTTGTTTTTCAATGCACCAGGATACGCTGTTCCTGCATATAGCTAGCAGGGGTTCAGGAGGCGATCTGCCAGGGCTCTGCAGGCACGAACCAGTGGGAGCTGCAGGCTGAGAAGACCAAGGAAATCTAGAGCAAGGTCCCGTCAGCGAAGCCGTGAAGCGCAAGCTTGCGCCGTGCAGTGCCGGCCCACCGCCATGTCTGTGTAGCCAATCACCCGGGCCACCACCGACGACGGGATCCTGCGTCCTGCGGACCCAATTTTGGACACGATCCCTTCCATGGGACTTGGTGCCGTTGCCCGGACTGACCAGCCGCTTCTGGTTCGTTGACCCAAGGCCTGGCCCTGGGACATCGGACAACACCCACAGGCCTCATCTCACGTCTCTCTGCGCTCCTCTGGCCTTCCCGGGGCTCTACGGATACGGATGCACTGCTTGGGTGCTATCAATGGGACACCTGAGATAGAGGGACACGCGAGAAGAGCCGGACCCTGTCGTGTTTGTCCGCTATAGCCTACCTTTCAGCACTCAAGGATCAGCCTGTCGTGTCTCCGAGTCTCATCTCCTCGGCTCCTCAGAAAGCTCAGCTTCTCCTCTCCACTTCGTACTGTGGTACGGATAGTACTCTCTCACAACTCTGACAGTTGGATCAGCACTACAGCAGAAAGCAGCGTCGCATTCCCCCAAGGGCAAGGCAGGGAAGGCCCCCATGGTCATTTCGCCCCTGGGGTTGTTCGGCTTGCAGCCTTGCTTGCTTTGGTAGCGGTTATGAGCATAATAACACTTGAAAAAAAGCAAAAGCAAAGCCGAGCAAAGCGCACAGAGCGACGAGTCTGGCCCCCATGTCCTCGTTCGCGCGCCCACTAGTCACCCACACACCCTTCTCTTTGGCCGCGTCGACGACCAACGGGGGACAACGGGGGGAGGGATGGGGGCCATCGGGACGGGACCCTACAGGCACAGGCATACCAGAGACAGGAAACGCCGTGTCGCCCAACGCTCGCAAAATTTCCGCCAGCCCACACGCCCAGCGGCGCTTGTGCTGGTTGCCCACACAGTTCTGCTGGAGACGGGGCGCCGGGGGCGGTAGGAGGAGTCAGGACTCAAAGGACCTGTGTCGTGGTTGTTCGGCCGAGTCGTGAAAAGGAGAAATACCTCGCCTGCCCCCTCCCACACGCCTTACACTCTCGCTTCTGTTTCCTCACCGTTGCTCTCCTTACCGCTGCGTTCAGTGCCCACACTCTCTTGCAACTGCTCTTCGTCATCGTGCCTTTTTTGCTGCACATTACTCTCATTCAGATTTATCAATATCGACAAGACAGTACCGTCATTCCCTTGACATTGCATTCATTAAAGGCACAAGCTTTGCACGCTCACGCACAACTCAACCCGGTGGAAACTCGTCAGCTTTGGTCATACATTGACTTATATCGATTCTCAAAGCCTACATAACTTATCCAACCAACATCAATCAAAATGCGTTTCACCAGCATCTTTGCTCTCCTGGCCGCCTCGGTCGCCGTTGCTCAATCCGCGGATGAGAGCACCACGACCATGACCGCCACCACCACCAAGACGGTTACCATCACCAAGTGCAACCCGACCAACACTGCGTGCCCCTTGTACACGCCGACTTCGACTGTTGCGCCTACCATCAACTCGACGACCTCCACGCCCGTTTCCACCTCCACCTCGTCGTCTTCCTCTTCTTCGTCGTCGTCCTCGTCGTCGTCCCACTTCTACCCGGCTGCCAACTCCACCAGCTTTGCTGGCCCGACCGCCTCGGCTCCTTGGACCAAGTCTACCGTCCTTCCCATCAAGACGTCTGCCGACTCTTCCGCCCCCACCTCTGCGGGCAGCGCTGTTCCTTCCGCACCTGCAAGCGCCGGCTCTGGCCTTTTCGTTCAGAGCGGTCTGATGGCCGCCGTTGTCGGTCTCGCTGCTCTCGCGCTGAACTAGACGGCTTATCTGGTCGTCAAAGAGCAACTCAGAATTCGCAACTCTCAGTCACTTCACATTAATTCGATTCACGACTGATCTCACTATTATTCTCAGGGGATAGGCTGATTGGAGACCTTTTATTTTATCAACGATTCTGCGTGTTTTGGAAAGCGGATTGGAGCCTCGGCTACCGGGTGGCCTTACACTTCTAGCCATAGACTTATTGTTTGGGTGTCGGGTGAGTTGGAGGAGTTTATACCTACTGGGACATGATTGCAGACATACCCGACAGACGGTGCACATACTCATACTCTATTTTCTGAATGAGACGAACCTGAGATGACCTCACATTTTGCCCCTCATTGGCTCTGGAATGCAGTGACTTTAAGGAAACGACGCACGATCGGGCCGTTTCGATGTGAGATGTTTGCAAAGACACTTCCCTGATTCACCATGTGTGTATTTTATTTGAGCACGACAACTGCAGGGTCTCAACATACTCTACTTATAACCCACCTCGCAGTTCAATTCATCTACCAAGGCATAGGCAGGCAACCATCAGCTCAAAGTGAACGTTGTCCGGGTAGCCGGTGACCTTTTTCTTTCCTTTGCAAGCAGAGAGCAAGTGGCTCATTTTCCTGCGCCTGCATGGGGTATACTTGAAAGAATGAGTCCCGAATGCTCTAGACCTTGGGAAGATTTGACTTGCAACAGAAGGAAGCATCTGAAATGAGTGGCTAAGACAGTACCATTGTCTAAGCCTCCGAGATGAAGCAAAGTCAGGCACTGCCGGCCGTTGGTTCTCTCTAATTGTAGGGTGGGCCAACGGCAAGCCTCAGACGCCAGTCTTGGTACTCCGTCAGTACTTACCTTACCTTACCTTAGGGTATGTATCCGTAAGTAGGTAGATTAGACCATTTCAACGGTACGGCAAGGCGTGGTAGGCTCGTCACGCTGATTCGCCCACATGGTTGCCTTACTAAAGGAACGGGCCGCTTTCTAGGTCGTCTGTGGTCTGCCCATCAACAAAGACATCCGACGACTCCTCATCATCTTTGTCGGAATTTCTACTGTTTCCAACTCTTCTGTTTTCTTTCAAACTACTAGTACCTTGTACTGCATGAATTTCCTCACTTCCATGTTGATCTCCGGTGGTACACGGATGATTGCTATCCTCTTTCCTCATTGTACTACATGGCAGACATCAAGCTCGACGGCGTCTTCCCCTCCTTCGGTTCCCGACAGTTGTGTGCCAATCGAGTATCAACAGCGGCACCATCCCGGCGGCATGCATCCCTGCAGAGATCACTTCGATTTCCATCGTGCAGAATAGGTCAATAGACTTCTCTCGTTGGTGACGAGTAGTCCAATCGATGAAAGGCATGGAGCACAGCAATACATGTAAGCCAATATATTAATGTATGCGGTGTAATGGTAGTGCAGAGCTCGAGATTCCCTCTCCCTCCTTTTTCAGCTACTCGCACCGCGCCGAATGCGAGACACAAAACCCACCCTCCAAAGCCAAAGAACTCCCCAAACCTATCCAGTCGACTCCTATTACGGCAGATCACGCTCGTGGCCGTATTTTATGCACGCAATAGCCGCAGCTAGCTACCGACATCCGGAAATATGTCGCATCATCGTTGCGCCAAATCAACTCGAAACCAAATCCTCCTGCTTCGATAGCAAGCCAGTCGAAGTTCCAGCTCTATACGCCACACACGCGACTCGAACGTGGCGTACCCGTTGCCCTTATATTGCGTCTCGAATTGAGCACGGAGCGTAAAATAGCCATTGTCCAGGCCCCCGAGTCCGGTCTAGCTTCTCCTCTGGTCTTCAACCCGAGCAATTGCCTTGCTCGCAGCTATCGCATAGGGTTTTGTTCCACGGTACTATGTTATTGCAACCACAGATACCCGACTTGTTGTGGGCGCAGACCTTGTCAGCCATGGCGTTTGCTTGCGGCTTGTTATGGGACCGGGCAGGCCTCGTTGGCGTATCAATCATGATTCGGTACACGGTTTGAGTTTGCTGGGTCTTTCTTTCTCTTCGCAAAACCTTGCCTGAAGTCGAGACGGTCTTGTGTGGCGCTGTTCAGCCGTTCGGATAGTGTTTGACGGCTCGGCCCGTCGAGAAATGCTGTGACGGAGAAACTGGGGCTGCCAAGTTTCAATGACAGGAGTGTGCAATGCGACGAATGACGAGGAACAGACGGTGGGTTCTGGATTGCAATGCGACACGGGTGTCTCTTGAGGCTGAGCAGTTCCGGTTGCCAAAGAGCTATCTGCTGCCGACTAAGTTTTTCTCTCCTGTTGATCGTCGGCTCCATCGTCCTGGAGGAACAGGATGCATTCGCTTATATATGTTTTGCATATGGCGGCACCACACACACTCTTTCCGCACACACGCACTTCGTCTCCCTCTTGGTCTCTGGCGCGCGCACACGCACACACACACAAGTTCACTTACATCTGACAATCGACCCGCGTCTACATGCGGGCGACGAGACGCACAGGAGCCGTGCAGGGTGGCACTGAACATACATCACTTGTGGCCAACGTCTGGTTAGCTCCCACGCACTTGGGTCGCGGCATTTCACCAGTTCACCAGCACCATAGAAGTGTGCCACTCTGCTGGGTTGACAAGATTGCGCATCGTGCCGGACTTTGCAATGGTAATGCGCATCATTGCAGGATCCTTGGTATGGATCGTGTATGTTTGCTGCGAACTTCCTGGTCGCGAGGCCCTCCCCGACAGGAGACTTGCGACAAAACGACCCTGTCAGCCAGGATGAGGCGAAGCCTAGGTTGGCGCAACGACCAGCAGCCTACGGCTTCAGGACCGAGACCTGATACCGCAGCTTCACTTTCTAGAGAGAGATTTTCTCGGGATTTTCTTTGTCTTCCCGCCAGAGCCGCACTGTCAACACTCTTAACCGCCTCAAGACTTGACTATTACTGTTCACTCTCGAAAGAGCCTTTACCCTCACGCCTCAAGCCAATCACCTGATGATATTCATCTCAACACACGAGATCAAAGAATGGGCTGTTCTGGCGCAATGCCGCTGCGAAAATTTTCCAAAGGAGGTGCATTAGTGGATCGTGGGAGGACGGAGTACTTGACCGAAAGCCCATTAACATTCCCACTCTATTGCGCAGCGTGGCTGCGTGGTGGAAACCCTTGCCCATGGTCCGATGTGATATGGCCGGGGCCTGGGGCAATGAACAGACTTCTTGCAGTTTCCCGATACAAGTTCGTTTGTATTGAACATGGCCCGGGCCAGCCAGATGAACATTGACTTCTGCTCGACTTGGTCTCCTTTCTCAAGCGCAGTCTTGTTCACACATAGGCTCTTTTCTCAATTTCTCGACAATGCCCACCACCATCTTGTTCGGCAGCGCAACGCGACAGCGGAGAAAGTAAGTCAGCCCTGATACTGATACGGATATCAAAGGACCAAGACAGTGTTCTGTGTTTCGTACTCCTTCCTAGACTAGCCAGTCTACAGTGATTGACAGCGTCAGGGAGATGGATATGTTCTCCTTCATCATCAAAACGGCAACTCACAGCTGGACGAGCCTGACGAGAGTACGAGGTTCTAACCAGGTGAGTAAAGCCTGACAGTACGGATAGCGGAACTTCTTCACTAGAATACTTCACCACGAGATGGGGTGGAGGGAAGGATGGGATGTTGTGCAGATAGGCCCCCTTCTGCGAGTGCGACGGGCTTCGCCATGGAACACACGGCTATGTCAGGCACGCTACCCGTACACTAGACGTTCGCGCGGCAGCAAAACGGTAACGCCCCCGGAATTCTGGGGGTAAAGTAGAGCATATCCACCCTGTTACCCCTTCAGGCTTCCGGGTCTCCAGAGTGTGAAAAGGCTGCTAACCCTCTTAAGGCTTTCCGACGTTGTGTTGAGGAAAAAGCAGGGGGTGTTGTAAGGTATAAGTAAGCTGTCACTTTTCACCTTTTCTTCTTCTTGAGGAGCACCGAAGCCACCACCACCCCCAGTATGAATTTCAGTGTGTGTGGAATGTGAATGGAACGTTGTTCTCGTGGTAGAAGAGAGGATAGATTTGCCGATTGCAACCACAGCTAGCTTTCCTGCTGTTGGGTTTTGGTACTGCATGAGCGACTTATCTACAGAGTATTCGTATACGATATGGGCATTAGGAGGAGTGTTGGGAAGAACCCCCATAAGCACACATGGCTTTTTGCCGAATCCCAGCAAGCGAAAGTACAACGGTTGTCTCACGTCAAAGCGTTTTTTCTTTTACTTATGGTTCCACAGACTGCCACGCAGCAGCGCAGCAGTCGCAG